AGAAACTCAAGTAACGTATTGGAAAATCTTGCCATGGGAAAAAAAAAAAACCAGCAAGTGAAAATTTAAAACACAAAGGCTGTTATAAAAGATTCTGAAAACGATTCAATATCCAGGACTATTTCTATCCTCCTTTTAAAGTTCTAAATCTAGCACATCATCATCTAGAGATCCAAGCTATTAATCCAAAATCATACTTTACCATTCCCGTCCATATTACTGAGTTAAAAGAACAATTCAAAAATTCTCTTCCACTTTAAGAAATTTATCCAAAGAAACTACTCAGTAGATACACAAATATGTCTACAAAAGCACTGTTTACGTCAGAGAAGAATCGTATATACTTGTGATAGCTTTAGGATGCATCAACTTGGCTAGACAGAACTATATTTGCCAGAATTCCCTTTCTGCTATGTTTCTGATTCGGGTGAGCTACAAGGGACATTCTCCAGCAGGCGCTGGGAAGACAAAGGGAGGCAACAGCCATTTGGTAGCATACAAATACTTTCTCCCAGTTAATCAAACACTAATCTAGGGAAGTGTGAAGGGATTTTGCTGATATAATTAAAATCCCTAATCAGTTGACTTTACATTAATCAAAAGGGGAGACTATCCTGCGTGAGCCTGATTTAATCAGTTGGGAACCCTTTAACAGAGGGCCTATGTCCTCCCTGAGATCCGATACTGCAAGTAGCACCTGGCACAGGACAGAAGTGCTCCCTCTTCCTCCTGGATCTCCCCTTTCTGGCTGTCTGCCTTGGAGACTTGGTACTTGGTTGGCCAAACCCTACAACAACAGGATAAGCCAATTCCTTGTGTGTGTGTCTCAGTGTGAGAGAGAGGGAGTGTGTGTGTGTGTGTGTGTGTCTGCGTGCGCTCAGATATAGATCAAGATCGAGAGCCTACCACTTCTGCTTCTCTGGTTGAACTGACTAACACCCTAAATATACATCAGAACAAGACTAGATCAGTAAATTACAATTTCTTCAATACAGGGAGATACTATGCAACCATTTAAAAATGATGATACATGATTCCATTCATAGACATGGAAAGAGATCTCAATATGTTACATGATGAACCAAGTTACCAAAAAAGTATGCATATTTTATATCACCTATGTCATTTTTTTCACTTAGGGAGAGAGAACAAGATAGCTTTGCTCACTAAAGTTTTAATGACGAGGACGGGAATTCGAAGTCTTAATCTGGGTGTTACGATTTTAGGTGATTTTTACTTTATTCTTTATATTCTTTTGGATTGTTTTCACTTTCTAAAATGGCCATGTATCATCATTATTATCAGAAAAAAGGGGAAAAAACCCAATAAACCTTTCTCATTGATAAGAAAGATGTCATGTAGACTTACAGGTTAAAATGCGCCCAGAGTCTCAAAGGACAAACACAAGTTATCCCAGTAAAGCCGACATTTCAGGCAGAGGGCAACATGTGCCAAAGATGGACGCTACAAATAGTTTATAAAGGTGAGAGTTCAAGGAGAGGAGTGACAAGAGAAAGGGCTGGACAGACAGACTAGGACTAACTTACCACAGGTCTTACATGCCTCACTCCACCTACTGACAATGGGAACTAACAAAGGTGTTAAAACAAGAGTCGTCACATCTGCATTTTAGGAAAATAAAAATAAAACAACACAAACAAAAACTCACTGAGGCTCGCAAGTGTGGAGACTGCATTGGAAGGAGGCCAGACTAGAAGCAAGGAAACCAATTCAGGGACTGCTACAGTCATCCAAGCAAGAAATCCAGCCCTGAACTAAGGTAACAGCAGTGCAGATGGAGAGAATAAGCCACTGAGCCACAGTGAGGAGTGAAAACTGAGAGAACCTGATGGGGGATACACTGGTAGTAAAGAGACAGAAGTGGTCCTCTTAAACTGGGGAGTTCAGAGAAGGCTTCCAGAAAGATGTCCCTATAAAAAAGGCTCTCAAGGAGGGCACTTCATGCATATCACAGAGAGATGTAAGAGGCCTTTAAAGGTTTCCAAAATAAACATCAACAGTGTGTTGGCTCATGGCCACTAAAAGGAAGAATAATAAGCAAAATGTTAAATATACTACAAATGAGAGACCTCAACCAAAAAAAAGAACAGATCCACAATTATTTATTAAGTTATAATAGGACTATTATAATCTCTAATATATGTAGATATCTCTCTCTAATATCTTAAGGTTGACCGCTTCCAAAAAACCAGATTACTGCCAGAAATAGAATACTCTCAACAGTTGTTGGATTTGAGTCACACTTGTAAGTCACTTACAAGTCAAACATAGGGTTTCATATAAACTATTATTTTAGCCACCCTATTTTCACTGCTGGCCAAAATATAATCTTTTAAATTTTTAAAATTACAATCATTTAAATTACAAAAGCAAAATATTCTCACTATAACAATTCAAGCAATTCAGAAATGTAGTTCCTGCACCCTCTACCAATGCTCTATCCTTACTACTCTGAAATTCCTAGTTAAAATTAGTTGAATATTCTTCTGTTTTTCTTTGCTTACATAAACATATACATATTTTCATAAGGTTTATTTATTTAACAACAGAGGGTTCATACAATATATATATTATTCTATAACTTGTTTTTACTTAAGATAATCAGTTTTCAGGTCAACATATTTGACAGCTGTCCCTCTTCATTTTTAATATCTGTAACAACGTGAGCAAACCATAATTTGATATATATTTAGGATATTTCTAGTTTTTTGCTATTACAAATAATGCTAATTAATACTGCCATATATTTCTTTAAATACTATTCCTTACATTTCTATCAGATAAATACCTGAAGAAAAAATTTATGAGTCAAAGGACGGCATCTTAATAAATACTGCTACATTTATTGTAAATATATAAAAGTAGTAATGATTTACAGACTCACCAATAGTTTGAGGGTAACTTTTCCCCATGCCCTTGTCAGTACTGGAAATGATCACATTCACTTTTGCCCATCTGACTGGGTGGAAAAGCTGTTATCTACTGTTAGTGACAGGGAGCATCTTCTCCTATGTTCATTGTCTATTTGCATTTCTCCTTTTGTGAATTACCTGTTCCTATCCTTTACCTAAGATTCTGTTGGGTTGTCTTTTTCTCATTAATTTGTAGAAACTTATGTGTGTTATGATACAAAGCTTTTTAAATTTTTCTGCAACCAACTCTGCCACTTTTTTCTCCCACAGATTCTGGATTCCGTGTCTTGCTTAGGCCTCCTCTGCTACCCAAAATTATTAAAATAATCTCCTCTATTTTCTCCAAATTATTTTATTACAATTTGGTTTTCGTTCTTACTTTACATTTAGATCTTTAATTAATGTGAAATTTATTCTTGTGGTGTTATGACTTATGAGTTGTCCCAACACCATTTATTGAATTATCCATCTTTAAATGCCTCCTCTTAGAGTAATAGATCATTACAAATAACTAAGTTGGCAAATAAAATTCCTTTTTTTTTAAATTTTTTTCCTTTTTCTCCCCAAAGCCCCCCAGTACATAGTTGTATATTCTTCGTTGTGGGTCCTTCTAGTTGTGGCATGTGGGACGCTGCCTCAGCATGGCTTGATGAGCAGTGCCATGTCCGTGCCCAGGATTCGAACGAACGAAACACTGGGTTGCCTGCAGCGGAGCACGCGAACTTAACCACTCAGCCACGGGGCCAGCCCCAAATTCCTAGAAATTCTTAAATTTCACTAACTGAAGCAAAATTCCAAACTTATTAAAAGTTGATTAAAAGACATTCATCATTTTTTCTTTAAAAGAAATCGTACATTGGGACACATGCATACAGTATACCAATAAAAGCATGCACTGTGAAATGCTGACTTTTTTAACATAGCTATCTAAGTTAAATCAATAATCTAACTTTTTTACCATAAACAGTAGATACAGAAATAATCATTGTGTGAAATCTCAAGATTATTCATTGATTCGGGTCACAAATATTTATTGAGCACCAACTGACATGTGCTCAGGATACAATGGAGCACAAAGCAAGTATGCTCCCTGCTTTCACAAAGCTGGTGATCTAGGGGTAGCTTCCCTCTCTCCTAGAAAACAAGGTATTTTTAACTAAAACAGGAAAAAAGAAATGTATGTTCACACAAATGCAACACAACGAAAAACATTTTGGCAAATTTTATAACACCTTCAGTACTTTCCATTTCCAAAATACTACCTTATTTCAAATGTACCTATTTATCCTAGTGACTGTCTCTTGATCGTACTAATACTGAAAATACTGCTGGGAAGTTGATTGATTCCATTTAAAGATTAACTATTACCCATCAACCTATACTACAATACCTATGTCTAGTCTCGTCACTTTCTCAACAATATTTAATTTCTTTTACTGCAGTAAATAAGAATCTCAATAGCAGAAAATATATAAATCTATTTACATCAGTCATGTTCTGCCCATCAAATCAAAGGTATTTCTAAAAAGTATACTTAGATTTAAAGATGTTTCAATGAATTCTAGAGATCTAGCAAATGGCAGTATTGTGTCGCCTGCAGAGGAATCAAGAACTTCAGTGGCCCCTCAATGACAACAGCTAACAAGGGCGACTCAGTGACAATCACTTTAAACTTCAAGTCCCACGACCGAGGCTGCCCCTACTCTTACCCTGAAGCCTCGGGATGCCCGGCCCCTGTGGCCACGGCCCCCCCCACCTGAATCCCAACCCCCGGCCTCCTCCAAGCAGCCCAGCCCCTCCCGACCGAATGGGGAGCTGGACAAAGCACCGCCCAGGAAAAGCAGACGAGACTCCGGCCTCTGCGGGGTGACTTCGACCAAGTGTCTCCCCCTCAGTTTTCTCATCCGTGAGTTGAAGCTGGTACCCCGCGCTCGCCTCCACCGCTAGCTCTGGGCTCAGCATCTAATGCCGCAAGGGTGGGGGAAAGCTGCAGCCCTAACCCCACGCAGCTCCCCGCGCCGGCCCCCGACTCCCGTCCCGTCCGCGGTCCGCAGCCACGCGCGCTACCTGCGATCTGGGAGACGAAGGCTTCCGCCACCAGGGACATGTCGGCTGGGCGGGCCCGCGCCTGCGGCGCTTGCTCCCTGAGGCCCTAGGCGTCCTCCTCCGCAACCCCGGCGGCTCCTGGCAGCTAACCGGCTCGGCCCCGGCTGAGGTCTGGCTCGCAAAGCCCACCCTGCCGCCGGCGGCGGCGAAAACCCCAAGGTTACTGCCAGGCCCCACCGGGAACTTCCGGCGCAGCTGACAGCGGCGCGCGTGCGCTTCCGCCGGCCCCGCCTCCGCCCTCTGCCCTCCGCCCCCCGCCCCGGGCGCGCGGGGCCCGCCGGTCCTAGCTCACGGCCGCTGCGGGGCTGGCGGAGGGGTTGCGGGTGCCTGGTTTCCAGCGACTCCCACTCCAGCCTAGGGAGCCGGTGGGGGAGGGGGGGGACCCCGGAGGTTTTTAGTATCTTCTCTGCATGGGAGAATTTTGTTAACAAGTAACATTTTTAAGAGCACACTAGATACCATTTTAAAAAACATACACAGCATTCTATTTCATTTCATCTTCTCAACAACCCAATAAGATGATATTATCGCCATTTTACGGATAAGGAAACAGGCTTAGAGAGTTTGAATTGCCAACTGAGGGAGTCCGCTCAGGCCCAGAGTCAAATCCACGTTAATTTCCTCTGTTCCATTATACTGCTAGGTGGATTAGTCCATAGACAGACATTAGTGTTTGATTATTCCTTTATTCAAACATGCTTGCCAGAGAGGAGGCTTGAGCAGCGTGTAAACTGAGAGATGGTTTGCCCTTCAACTCTCTACACCCGAAATGAACCTTATCTTGGCGAATAAGATACAGTTTTCCCTCGGTATCCCTGGGGCAATGTTCCAAAACGCCCCCCCACCACCCACCGCCACGGATGCCAGGATATGCGTATGCTCAAGTCCCTTAATCGGTCCTCCGTATCCGCGGTCCTGGATCCGCGGATTGAACCAGCCACGTAGTATGTCTATAATACGTGGTTGGTTGAATCCGCAGATGTGAAACCCGCGGATACCGTCGGCCGACTGTACTGTAGTTTTACACACAGCTCCCCTTTCCAGGGTGAGAGGGGGCAGGAAGAGGAGAAACTAAATCCCATAAGTGATGTTTTACCACTTAACATAATACTACAATTATACATACACAATTCAAAAAAAATTGGAGTATGTTACATATTTGGAGGCATAAAATGTTACAAGTGAGTGAAACAGATTTCAGAGGTCGTTTGGTGGGTCAAAACCCGCTTTCAGTGATGAGAAACAGACTCAGAAAGGTGAAGTGACTCATTTTAAATCACACAGTAAATCAAAAAGTCAGATAGCTTACTGTTTTTGCAAAAGGAACGTGGCGTTCTAAGAATTACCGTCCATGACATTTAGAAAGCTATGTCTCCTTTCTGTATGCTTCCCTAACTCTAAAACTCTGTTAACAATTTGTTGTTCATATTTCTGCCTCCTTAACCAGTGTATTAGTTTCCTAACAGATTACAACAAACTAAGCGGCTTAAAACAAGAGGAATTTATTCTCTTACAGTTCTGGAGGCTAGAATTCTAAAGTCAGGGTGTCCCAGGGCCATGCTTTCTCTCAAGGTTCTAGGGAAGACTCCTTCCTCGCCTTCCTCACTGCTTTGCGACTTCCGGGGTTGCCAGCAGTCTGTGGCCTTCCTTGGCTTATAGACATATCATTCGGATCTCCGCCTGCCTCATCACATGGCATTCTCCCTTTGTGTCTGTATGTAAATTTACCTCTTCTGATAAGGCCACCAGTCATTGCTTTAGAGCCCACCCTAATCAAGTATGACCTCATCTTAACTTGATTTCTTCTGCAAAAACTCTATTTCCAAATAAGGTCACATTCAAGGTACCAGGGGTTAGAAACTTGAACATATCTTTTGCAGGGGACATAATTCTACCTACTACACTAGATAATAATTGTTTTAAGGATAAGTCAATATTTGCATCACCTCTTGCAACTAGGAAACTTGTTTAACTGAATTTAAATTTACCCAAAAGCTTACATGTACGTAAACACAGTGGTTTAAGAAGCAGCATCTTCTTGCTGGCTGAGATTCAGAGTTGACAGGCAGAGATAACAGGTTTTTCTTGTTTGTGCTGAGGGAGGTAACGCTGATAGTAAAGGGTATGCTAAACCCAGTTTCCTCCTCCTCACCCCATGGGTGATACTGACCAAGAGAAATTAACTGTTCCAGGTGTTTTAGTGTCAATCCAAAGAAAAGCTTTCAGTTCCTGTCTGTTCTCTGCACAGTGGAGAGTTGTGTATGACTTGTAAAAGTGAAGAAGATCCATCCCCTATTTAAGTTCTATTACCGAGTTTGATTTATCACCTTTAAAAAGCTGAAGATAAAATGTTTTGACTACTTTTTGACACATATGGGGTTTTTTAAGATTTCGCCGTATCATAGAGCCTGTGTGGGAACTTGAACCAAAGTCCCTAGAGAGTACTGTGGATTGGACTGGGAAAACCAAAGCCCAACACATCCAAAGGGCAGAGGTGAGCCCCAAAGTGGAAGAGAGTGGTAGGAGCCAGGAACCAGGCCTGCGTGCAGAAGAAATGGAGCAGGATTCGAGCGAAAGGAGAATGTGCCCTCAAAATCTTAGTTAAGTCTATGGTTGATGCATGGTACATGGGTGAACTGGGCTGGCTCACAGGTACTGGGTTGGGACTGACACCAGCCCCGTTCCAGCAAGATTTGGAAAGGAAACAGAGATCTGCTGGGGGCACTGTCTGGACTCAACTCTTTCTCCATTGCAGCTGGGGAAACAGAGTCATCAGCGCCATATGGATTTATTTTTTCTGCCTGACTGATGGTTCCTTTGCTTCCCACACAGGCTAATTCAGGCTGGAAAGAATCTATATTGTGGGAGGTCTTTATTACTGAAAATTAAATCCAATAAAATGCAGATGTCCTGACGGTGCCCACATACAAGCTGTCTTTGTAATAAATAGCCAACTGGAGAAAATATATTTATGCATCTGTATTAGAACAACTGGCAGATTTAAAACTGCAGATCTGTTTAAGATCACCACAATTAAGGAAAATACAAGAAAACAAGCCACTGGAGTTTTTAAGAATGAGGTTATAAAACAAAAGTGCTAGGGAATCCATATGTTACTAAAAGGATAATCACACAATTATTTAAAATAAAATTCTAATGCCTGACATGAGCAGCCTTATTGTTTGCCTTAATAAAATCACTTTTCTTGCAAAACTGTTCTGTCATAAGAATATTTTCATGTCTCTAATCTAGATTTTATGTTACTATATTAAGTAGAAAATATACAGCTATCATGATGGATACATACATTATTAAGATTAAAATACTAAGGCATTTTATCTACCATTCATTTTTCTCTGATAGAATGTTAATATTTAAATGTAAATTATTTTCTTTTTTAAAAAATGGCTGCAAGAGAAAATTTTTGGCTACAATCCCTTCAAAATTCTACTATTTATTTGACAATGATATAATAAATCTAGGCCTTTTTATCAAGTTAGTTCCCCCCACATCCTCATCAACAGAATTAATTATAGTTAATTCAGTCAATCCAAATAGAGTGAATAGAGTTAAAAACACTAAGGTACCACGTTGTGCCCCAGAGCTTTTCTGTCCGTCTGTTAACAGTTTTTACATCTTTAATAACAATGGAACTGAGGACAACTACAAGCAATCTAATATATGGGGTTTACAAAGATATTTTTTACTTTTTTTTTTTTGAGGAAGATTAGCCATTAAGAATCAAGAGTGCTATACGGTGGCTACCACTTGTTTTAAAACTGGAAAAGTTATCTAAGCTCTTTAATATTTTTCACTTTCATAGAGGAGGTAATAAAATGTAATGATGTCTTAACTGCAACCCCTGGGGTGGGAGGAGGGGAACAGAAATCAGATGATTGTGTTAACAGAAAGGAAGAGCTGAGGATGCCTTCAACAGAATTATTATATTGCATGAGTTGTTTATTTATTAAATATACATATGATTTATATATTTATTATATTTATATATTATATTTATATATTATATTATATTTACTGTTATATTTCTTAGGCTAACTAAGCCCTAAATCACTATATCCGTAAACTTAAACAGGTTTTCAAAACAAAACAAAAAACCTACACACAACTGTCTCATCTTTCGGTGCATACATTACCCTTCTAGAACTGGCTAACAAGGCACACACTTCCTGAAGCTATAAATAATATGTGTGAATAGAATAAAATGGAAAACGTGAATGATGCAACATTAAGGAAAAACAGCAGAATGCAAAATGTATTTTATTGTGAATACAACTATGTGAAAACATGTCTATGAAAAAAACCTGGGTGGAATTTCTCAAATGTCATAAAGTTGTTGTATCAAAGGGGTGAGTTTTTGATTTTTTTCTTTTTCGTGTCTCCTAAACTTTACGTAATATTTTTATGCCATTTTTACCATTTAGAAAAAAAAGTGTGTGCATCACGCTAGGTAGTACTTCTTTAAAGCTAATATGGCAAGTGCTCTGATCTGTCTGCATCCAGACCCAATATAAGTCTCTTTATCCTCAGTGATACTGCTGAGAACCTTTCTTAAACCAGCTTCATGTTCCTTGACAGAGATTCACTCCCACGGTAATAATGAGAGAAGAACATGTGCAGACAGAACAACACCCGACGTATGGTATTGTTTGATTGTGTGTCCTTGTTTAAGACTGTATACAGATGGGCAAGACACATCTCATTGTGTGACTCCTATCGTTGAACATTGAGTGACGTGTTGAACAGGGAGAAACTGGCAAACTTTGTAGACTAGTTGTAGACACTCTTGCTTCTGATGATGATTTGGCATTGGTTTTAAACTTTATCTGAGTTGTCATATTTTACCTCATCACCCTTAAACAAAGCTGAAGAGTTGACAATGGTGATTAAGGAGCCTGAAGCAAGAGTGTCTACAACATGCGTGTCACAAACAACTGGTAAAGAGATCTGCCTAAGACAGCAGAAATTTGAAAGGACTCCTGAGCACTTGGAGCCGCTTTGAGATAAAGGGTCCCATGATTGAGAACTAGGTCACCTCTGATGTAAAACCAGCATCTAGCAAGTTATGTCATGCGACACAGTCACCACTATTTTCTTGTACCTTCTTTTCAAATTAGAATCTATATTAGAGCGTGAGATTTATTCACTCATTCATTCATTCATCAGATAATTATTCGACCCCATTTTGCAGTAGTAAGCCCTCAGCTAGATCTCGGAGATACTATGGTGAACAAAATTCAGTGTCTGCTCTGAATTATGATCCAGTTGATCATAATGTAGATGGACAAGCAAACAAGCCACTTCAACACAGTGTAATGAGAGTGTCCAAACCCATTTAAAGTCATAGGCAAAGTTACCTAAGACATGTGGCCAGCTCCATGGCCTAGTGGTTAATTTCAGTGCATTCTAATTCAGCGGCCTGGGTTCGGTTCCCGGGTACAGACCTACACCACTCATCAGCAGCCATGCTGTGGCAGAGACCCACGTACAAAATAGAGGAAGATTGGCACAGATGTTGGCTCGGGGCAAATCTTCCTCAGCAAAAAAACACCTACTCATACTGGTGTGAAGAACACCTTCAGTAACCCAATACTCATCAAATATCTTGGTGTTCAAAGGGGTAAGGAACAATCTTACTTTGGCACATGTTTGAACCCACAGTTTCTGAGGAATAACGCACTTCTGTTCATGGCCATTCGTTATTTTTTCCTTTCTAGATAAAATGAAAACATCTCACTATATAACTCTTCAAAATTAAAAGCAACTATTTTAAGCTCTTGCTCAGTTCAAATTTCAGTGTGAAATATTTAGTATCTTGCCAGCTTCCTTTTTTTTTTCAACAGTACCCCAGAAATAAAACACAGGAACTCAAAAGGAGTAGAAACAACTGATATTGGACAGCAGTACCAATCACAGCGATGGTTCCCATCTTCTCTGGAAAGTGTTTTGTAAGTGAGTGACCATTCCCCTCTGCACTGTTGAACGCAGTCATCCAC